TTATCGTCCGCTGATTGCAATCTGCGAGAAGTGTGAACTTTCGTCGCAGGAGAATGAAACCGCAAATGTGGAAAGTTACTCTTTGAAAAACTCAAGCAATTTCTTTTACGATACATTTACCCCTGTGCTTGAACTTAACCGAGTGATTTATATCGTATAATGCGCAAGCCTGTCTCAGCATCGAAAGAAATAGTGGTAAAACAGCCACCCGTAGTCCCCGGGAATCGCGTGGGTATTTCACGATAGAAATCGAACAAACAGGGAAAAACGCAGTGTTGAAGTATCGCGTGCCTTCAGATTATAATCGGTGTATTAATTTTTTATCGTCCGTTAATTCCACTGACAACATGCAACAATACATTATTTGTCGGTACACAATGCAGAATGCATTCAGAGCACATATTTTGCTGTCGCTTTTCTGCATGGGATTATACTCGAAGCCGAATTGGTCAAATGAATGAAAATTATTCGCCGAGAGACAGTTGTCGTTTATTGGAATCACAAAGTTGAATTTTTTTGGCTAAAATTGCCGATGTTTTCTTTAGAAAATTTTATCGCGTAGTTTCGTTGAGATTTCAAAGAAATCGTTTGTTTGGATTTTGTTGTTGAAACTTCAAAATTTCATGGAAAAATCAATGGAAATTATAAATTTAAGCTCAATTACCCCGTGAAAATTCATACACTGAGAGAAAAACCAACACGTTGTCAAACAAGTCTTGTTTGGGCCAACAAAATCGCTAGTTGAAAATTGGCAAAAAAGAATTTGTTTGGTTTGTATTTGAAAGTCTCAAACATGAATAATTGTACTGCTTTCGGCAGCAACGAAAAATTTCGCTCAAGAACCAAAATAATAATTTTTGGCTCTTTTTTTTTTCTTTTTTTTTTCTCTTTTTTTTTATAATAATTTTTTTTTCGGCGGATAATTTACACCAGACGGTGCCTTTTCAGGATGAAAATATATGAGATAGAGGACATTTATCAACAAATATTTTATCCCTAAGTTACAAGATTGTTATCATTATTATTGTTTCATTTAAGGGTTCATTTCTTGTCTGTGATTATTAGACAGCCGAAACGAAAAACTACTATCCCTTGTTTCGCATAAAACAAAGATTTTTCGGGAGCAAAATACGTATGGGAGTATCGAATAACGAAGGAGTGGTGCTAGAAATGACATTTCTTGCGTGTACAGAGGATTCAATTTTTTTTAACTACTAAATCTATTTTTGCGACAAAAATGTTTCATTCCGGCGCACTCTCTGCTTGTTTGACACAAAAAAATCCTTTTTGATAATTTTCAAAAAATCATTTTCGTGGCACACACGGAGAGAAATATTCAATAAAAATTACGTATCTTTTCCGTAATTCCGAAGCGAAATGAGGTTGTAGGAAATTTTACGGAACTGTCGCGGAATTTTTCCAGAGCTTTCGGTAAATTTTATTTGAATCTCCTGTGAAAAATTATGATACCGTCACTTAAATTTTCTGAGTCGATTCCGTAATCGGTGAGCGAATTGTGAGTTCCGTAATTTTTACTGAATATTTCTCTCCGTGAAAGTGAGAAATGCTTGAGAACTTTGTCATTTTTCTCTCAGTGTAGAAATCAGAAAAATTCAGGTAAATACATTCGTGAATTTACAATTAAAGATGTTTCTGTATGTTTCCATTCTAGCTCTCGTAAATTGTAATTTCTCAGACAGTAATTGACGTCCTTTGAATCATGCGAATATATCACTGTTGCCCGATGAAAGTAGTACATTTCGTCACAAGTCCTATAAAAGTATTTTCTCATTCTGACCCAAACGAAGTGAGATATGAGAATTGGCGGGTTCCTCCGAAACGAATGAGCAGGTGCAAAGTGTCAATAATAATGTATTGTTCTCATCCCTCGCGGCAAAACTTTTCCAAGATATTAGATTGCGCCAGGATTTATTGCTTTCCAACGACTCTCGAAAGACAGACAGAGTTTTGTATGTTCTCTGTAAGTAAAGCTGGAGATAAAAATGGGTGGCAAGATGCGGGGAACGATGGAGCACACGGCAAGCGTAAGCGCTTTCAACTGGCAGTAGTTGAAATATCCATTCTGCTATAATATGTCACATTGTTGGTGTCAAGTTAACGGTTAAGACTTGGGAAGGAGTTCGCTCCCGGTATTTCAGAAATAATGAAAAATTACTTCAGCTTTTGTCTGTCGTATAGCTGGGAAAATCCTTCGGTTTGAGGGGGCGATAAATGGAGAGAGTGATGGCAGAGTATGATATGGGCGATAATCACATGACCTCAGTACACTGTTGAAATTTTTGTCTGAAATTTTCGGTACGTTTTTCGGAAATTTTTGTCGAATTTAACTGCCACTGAAGTTTCGAGGAATTTCCACGCATGAAAAAATTCAATAGAAATCCTAGCGAATTTGCTAGAAAATTCTGTTGGAATTCTATCGAAATTTTGTGGAGTTTCTATAGGATTTCTATTGGAATTCTATTGAAAAATTCTATTTGTGTTTGCGCTGATTCTATTGGATATTTAATTAGATAAAGTCAATGGATTTAGAATTTCTGTTTGAATTTTTCCAATAGAAATCCTATAGAAATCCCATAAAATTCCTATAGAATTCCAATAGAATTTTCTAGCGAATTCGCTAGGTTTTCTACTGAATTTTTTTATACGTGTCGTCATTAAAAATTCAGAATTTCGTGGAAAAATCAAAGAGAACTGTAAATTTCAGTTTCATTCTTCTCTGAAAAATGAATAGAAAATCCGAAAATTCCGGTAAATATATTCTGGAATTTTCAGCACAGTGGCACTGAATGCGATTTAGGGGAAAAAATAATGAAATTTCAGATTTCATTGAAAATTCTATGTAATTTGACACTGAGTATCCACATGAGATTGAAAATTCCAATAAACTAAGGAATTCTCGTCTTTATTCTGTTTAAAATTCTGGAATTGTACTGAATTTTCAGTGAAACCTGAAATTTCATGATTTTTTTCCCCCTAAATTGCATTCAATGTCACTGTCCGGAAAATTAGTAGTCAATTGTCCATGAAATTTCATCTTTTTCCTAACAGTGTAGATGCGACTTGATAGAAATTTTGCAAGAAGTCCCGAAAATTTAATGAAAAAAATTCAACGGAGAGACTAAATGCGAATGTGTATTTCACCTCGATTTACCCTGAAATGTTTGCGATGAAATTAATTTTTCCTGCTTATGAGAACTGTCAACAATCTAAAACTGTAAAAGTCATGAATGCATCTTGGAAAGTGTGCACGAACAATAGGAAACTTCTGGCTTTTGTTCTCAGAGGGGGTTCTCATAGGACAGGCGGGGGAACTAATTGTTCCACGAAGAAAAATAACGACAAGAAACAGAGGGGTGAGTGTACTGATTCAGGGTGCTAACAGTGCACGTCTTTCGCAGTGCTTCTCATGCAAATATCTCGCAACTACCTCTATTTGGAAATAACAATGGCCTTGCGTACAAATAAAAAACAGCCTGCTAATTGCATTCCGGCGGGAGCTATTGTGCGAATGCAGTGGAGAAATTGCACGCATTGGAGGGAATTAACTTTCCTCACGCTCCATCCTAAATAATTTTTTGCTGGATTTTTCTGTAGATAGAAAAAAAAACGAAAAATAGAGGATAGAATTAATAGCGAAGCGGAAAATTATTTCAAGTGTATGAATAGACACGTAACGGCGAAAAATGAATGTGAAGTGTTCAAAAAAATAATTGATTATCATTAGTAATTTTTTGCATGAATTTTGAATTTGATGGATGTGACAAATCAATCCATCAAATTCAAGCCTAAATTATTTTTTCAAGCAATAGTCTCTCGTTGACTGGGTTGTTTCGATACATTTAAAAATATTTCCAATGGCATTTCGGGGAAACCAGAGATATAAATTATTTATTACAAAAATTCGACACTAACGATAATTTTCATATTGGACATTGAATTATTTATTAATTTTTTCGATTTTTCGAGATTTTTTTTAGACTACACTGTTAGCCAATTATTCTTGAAATTTCAAGTGACATGAGCTTGAAATTTTTAACAACGACAAAGTTACATGAAATTTCTGTATATTTGTTCATTAATGAGTTAATTAATTTCTTGAATATTCTAGTAATTCTCAATTTTCAGGTCCATACTGAAAAATCTTTAAAATTTGGAAAATTCAGACAATCACACACATTAAAAAATTCAATTGAAAACCTAGCGAATTCACTAGAAAATTCTATTGGAATTCTATTGAAAAATTCTGTTTGTTTTTTGCGCTGATACTATTGGATATTCAATAAGAAAAAGTCAATAAATTTTGAATTTCTATTTGAATTTTTATCTTAAATTTTTTCTATTAGAATTATTGGGCACAAAATTTTCTAAGTTTTTTCCGCTGGATTTTGTTTTGTTTTGCATTGCATTAGTCGAGTGGAAAAAACTTGGAAAATTGATGCCCAGGCATTCTTATAGAAAAAATCTCAAGAGAAAAATTTAAACAGAAATTCGAAATCTATTGACTTTTTCTTATCGAATATCCAATAGAATCTGCACACAAACAAATAGATTTTTTCAATAGAATTCCAATAGAAATTCTATAGAAACCCCCATAGAATACCAATCGAATTTTCTAGCGAATTCCTTAGATTTTCTATTGATTTTTTCATACGTGCACTTTCCTGAATTCTCAATCTATTGAAAATTGGATTGTATATGATGTTTAATTTTCACGATGAATTTGGAAATTCAAGCTTTCATTGAAAAATCATCCGAATCCTTCGAAATTGGATCATTCCATCACACGATATCAGCGGTAAAGACGGTGAAGACTATTTCCCCCCGCTCTCCCCGATATTTTTCATGTCTCTAATTTTTCATGTTCACTGCAGTAAAAAGTGGCTGTTCTCTCCTCCCCGTGATTGCTTGCGCCGAGGTAAACACTCAATTAACCCCGGCACAATTAAACATTGTCTTTCTCCATTAACTACACCACTTGCCTGTCAAACGATATAACGACGAGTGTGAATGTGCTGGATGCGACAGTTACATTTGCGACGAAGTTATTTACAGTACAGTACAGCACTCCAAATGGCCAATCAGAGTTGAGCATGAAGATAAAATTAAACACACAGTTGAGTAATGTCATCATCAGGTCCGCTATCGAGAGATTGACCAGCAGATAATTGGTCACTGTACGCATCCTTCTGTGGGCTGAAACAAAATAGAGAGAAACATCAACTCTTGGTGTTTAAAATGGCAAAAAAATTGCACTATTTGCAAACTCTGAATATTGGGATATTTCGATTGTAAAAATAATCTCTCTAAATCTACAATAAAGCCCGTTAAAACCTTAATTAAACAAATTAAATTATTATACAAATTAAAGATTTGGATTATACAAAAATTCGACACGATCGATAATGTACAAAAAATGTTTGTTAAGATTTGCTTCGGCAACAGCTCTTCTGAATTTTTATAACGATAAACTTAATTCATAATCCGTATTATTTCCAAGTGGCATTGAATTTGAGATCCTCTGAAGGGCAAGTGTGAATTGTGTACAATGATCATCCAAACTTCGGATTCCAGAGGCATCTAAGAGAACTAAGAGAATTAGAATTTAGAGAGAAAAAATTTCCGCTTCACCCAGCCGGGAATCGAACCCGGGTCTCCCAGATACGCGCCGGGCACTCTTACCGACTAAGCTACCGGGAACCACAGAAATTCACTCTCCTTTTACCGGATGCTAATGTCAATAGTCTATTCATCAACGTTTGTGGGTGAATGGAATAGTCGGACGATTGATTACGTGAAAGCCGAGTGAAGGGAATTACGACAAACAAAATTTTACCGGCGGCCACAGGGTCAGATTTTCGGTCTTTACTTGGAACAAGGGTCAGATTTGTTAACACTTTCTTTTTTTATTTGGACAATGCATGCAAGCGGAGGGGCAAGAGTGGCTAGAATAGATTCTGCAACCTTCTCCGCTTGTTGGGTAAAAATGTCAAGCCTCCACATACATGCATCTCCCCTCCACCCTCCCGTGAAATGTCGATTTTCGGGATTAAACAAAAAACAATAATTGCATTTTTTATTTCAATAACGCATGAGTAAATAGGGATATGAACGCAGATTTAATATAGGCCCATAGAATTACGGGGACCGGCAAGGATTTGGAAAGTCTGAATGCAAGTGCTGCTTACACCTAACAAGTGCTGAAATGGGACATAACCAGAGGTAGAAAGGTCTCGGAAGCACTTGGGAAGAGGCTTCCCAAGACCTATCCAGTTCTGAACGGAGAGACCTAAGTAGAATTTGTCAGGTCCAATTATTCGACTCGGGAAAATTTTCGCGAATTGTAAGTTCCGTAATTTTTATTGAACATTGCTCTCTATGTAGTCAAAAAATTGGTGAGTAATATTAACAATTTACTTATTCAAAATTTAACTGTAATTAAAAATTATGGTTATGCCGATGCCTGCTCGCATGAGGTTTACTATAATATCTTCCATGAAATTTCAAAAAAATTCTAACAGTGTGATGAGAATGCAATAGAAGGGAGCACAAAATACATTCACCTTATTGGATACTTTTCCCAACAATGCTCTAAGAATCTCCATTGAATTTTTTTTACAAGTATGTCGATACTCTTCAGCTGATAGATTTCATATCATATTCTATGTGATATGTCTTGCAAATACGCGAGTCACATTTTCTTCACTACACAAATCGTTTTCTGTGAAGTACATTCATGATACAAAGCACTTCCTTTGTGCCCTTTGCTCTGCGATACCTATTGACTAAGATCTGTTACATAGACTGTGAACCGAAAGCCCTGTCAATTTCCAACAGGATTTTACGTTCAATATCCCCGAGGAAATGAAGAGAATTAGGGCGTTTGGATGACTGTTAAAATGAGAGAAATTTTCCAGAAAAATTCTAGTACGAATACTGGAAAAAATCACAATCCACCGGCTGTGAAAAATTCTTGCTGTTAACGTAAAATTTCTTAGGATTTCTGGTAAAATTTCTGGGGATTTCTGTGAAATTTTAACAGAAATACGGGGAAAAATTCACGTTTTCTCCAATAAAATTTCCAGTGTCAGCACTGGGATTTTTTCCTGGCCGTCACTTTGCGCCTCTTTTCCTGTGCTAGCATTAGAATTAAAAAAAAAAATTTCTCTCCGTGTAGAGTGTAGGTCATGAAATTTCTCCATAAAGTCACGCTATTTATTTTCTGTCATTAGCGACGGTAGTCAATGGCATTGTTTATGAATGGCTTTATTCACACCGTGTTTACCCGTGTTGAGTCACGAACCTCTTCTTATCGTATTACAGAGACAAATTTGCGAGGCAAACAGTCGTTTTCCTTTTAACATTAACGATGACGATCATGGCGTGCACATGTTAGAGTATAAAATTAAAAATTACAATGCACTGTTAGAAAATAAATGGAATTTCATGGACAGTTGAGGATTAATTTTCAGAACAGGCATACTGAATGCGATTTAGAGGAAAAAAAATCATGAAATTTCAGGTTTCAATTCGGTTTAGCAAATCATAAATTACGCTTACTAAAACGTAATTTACGTTGAGGTTCTTCTGTGTGTAGAGAGGACACAGGGCAAATTAAAAAATTTAAGTTGAGGAAATTCTGTAGAAAATATCTCAATAGAATAAGCTATATAGAAAAATTAAATTCTCTTGACTTTTTGTACTGAATATTTTCTATTGAACATTCCAATAGAATTGGCCAAAAACTAATAAAACAGTTCAATAGAAATTCAATAGAATTTTAAATTTTTTCGTCCGTGAAGTAGTCGCATGTTTCTTCCGTATAATTTTTACAATTTCCATTCAATTCTGCTCCTTCGCAAGACCGTTTCGTCGAATCAGTGATAATGTCCGTGCCAATGAATAGGACCACATGTTATCAAGGAGGGAATGCCAATATCCATCCAATCACTGCAAATTAACTATGCGCATATTGCTTGGCAATGCAAAAGAGTGATTACACTTGACAATGAGTCAAAGTGTTCCATCGATGACAGCATTAAGTATTCCATCGTGGCCTTATTTTCAAACTGATAAGACGTTGGAGTCAGGGACTGTAGCCAACTCCAACCTGTGCACTACTCCATTCCCGGTCAGTTCGCTCGCAATGATGAATCCCATTATGTACTTGACGATTGTGGCATCAGCTGCACTGATTCCCGTGATTTTGGGCTCACCTGTGACTAACAAACCATTCAATATACCGCTAATTCCGCCAGGACCAGCTCCTACGGTGCCAGCTGTTACACCTCTGCTTCCGTCAAATCAATCAGGTATATTTTAAAGATGTGAAATGGAGACTTTTGGAAATCTCAACTTCAGACATGCGAAAGAATCAAGTGGAGATTTCCAAGTCCCAATTGCAGACTGAGAGAAAAAAATTAAAAGTGGATTAAAATCTACTGAGAGAAAAAAATTAGTTCTTCCGAACAATTATATGTTCCCCTAGAGAGATCTTTTGTCGTATTGAGTCAATTTAATTGGGGATAAGAAAGAACGGGTAGATGCGTTCGTCTGATTCGGTGGGAAATTTTTCCAAATTTCATAGAAGATATTATAGTAAATTTGATGAGAGTGACATTGAATCGAATTTAGGGAAAAAATGGTTATGAAATTTGAAGTTTTAAGTAGAACTCATGGAAATTCATGAGTTTTCAGTGGGAGTGAGATGGAAATTTGACAACTTGATTGAATTTTCAGTGGAGCATGAATAGTCAGAGACAAAATTACATGAAGTTTCAAATTTCCCTGAATTTTCCTTATTTTTAACAGAATAATTAATTCAACAGAATTAATTAAGTAAGAATCAAATAAGTGAATCAACAGAAAAATCATAACCGGTCACATAATTATGTGACGAAATGCTTGCTTCGAGAATTTTTACGGAAATTCGGGAAAAATTGTGAGGCCATAACTAAATTTTCCCTGCAAAAAAGATCCAAATTTTTACAGAACTTCGAAAGACTAATTTTTATGAAACTGACATAATCATTTTGGCGATATTTTCGTGATAATTTCTAAAAAAAATTTTCTTCAGCATCAACAATCACATCGGTAACACCACCAACGACAGCATCCCCAACACTAACTACTGCAACATCAGTTTCAAAACTCACTCCGTTTGGAGTCTCTGAAGGCTCCCCAGACGTAGTATACGGTTTTTCCGAGAGCTCAGCAACTGTGTCGTTACCTCCAATGACTGGTTTACTGCGTCTTCTCATTAAAGCACTAGTTTACCTCCTTAAATTATTGTTTTTCGACTTTATGGATAGCCCAGATTATTCCTTTGAATAGTTTCTAACATAATGATGGAAAATTCCTCATTAATGACAATTTGTTAATACACGTAACTCAATAGTGCATTACAGTACTAGAACGCAAATTTTGCTGTCGATGAATGTGAAGTTTATTCATCGAAAACGAAATTTATGCTCGAGTGGTCTATAATCTTTTATGCCACTTTGTGCAGCAGTCGAGGCTGTGCGATAAACTCGACTGATTGTACTGGGTGATATAAAATTAACTATCACGATATTTGAATATTGTAAATCATTGATTTATTGGAATAATAAAACAGGAGATTGGCAGAACTGAATTCATTTTACAGACTTTTCTATCTGCACTTGTGATTATTCAAGCTATCAGCCTTACAGGTATGGAAAAATTCTGGAGAACATTTTAGAATATTCGTTACGTAGAGTTCTCGAAAGGTTCAAATCGATTCTATGGGGCGAATGTGTGGAGGAAATAATAGGAGAATTTTCTCCTTTTAAGTGCGATTCAACGTTGTGTAACAAGATCTGTGTAAAAAAATGTGTTTGTGCACAAGATCAAGGCATACGCAGTTCGAAGATGTGTGTAATTAATTATAGGAAACTCGCCTGTGGACGTCTGAAAATGTGGACATGCACGGCTGTTGCACCCATGGGCACAAAGCCAAAATGACCGTGCGGTATAGTATAAAGGACTCAAGCTCCTACTCTGTTAAAAAATTTTATCTGAAATTTCCGGTACACTTTTTGGAAATTTTTATCGAATTTAATTACCACTGCAATTTCAAGAGGACGTCTTTGGGCTCGTCGTCAGCGTGCTGGCCCTATAAACCAAAGCGTCCCAGTAGCGCAGGTTCGAGTCCCGGTGATGAAAGATTTTTTCATCGCCGGAAAACGAACCCAGTGCATGTGGAGTTAATTATGTGGAGTTAGATATAAGTTAGCTTACAGGCAAGTGCGGGTAGGGAATTAGGCTGGGGTACCGCGTAGGTACTGGGACGGGTAGGTAAAAGACCACAACGGTCATACCATCTGGCACCACCCAATTTACCACTGCAATTTCAAGGAATTTCGTAATTAAAAAGTCAGAATTTCGGGGAAAATCAAAGGGAACTGTAAATTTCAGTTCCATTTCTCCCTGAAAATGAGTAGAGAACCAGAAAATTCCGGTAAATATATTCTGAATTTTCAAGGCAGTGACACTGAATCCATTGAGGGGGAAGAAATCATGAAATTTCAGATTTCACTGAAAATTCAATATAATTTGACACTGAATATTCATATTACATTTGAAATTCAAATAAATTAAGAAATTTACGTCATTATGCCGCTTAAAATTCTGGAATTTTACAGCATTATCAGTGAAACCAGAAATTTCATGATTTTGTTCCCCTAAATCGCATTCAATGTCACTGTCCTGAAAATTGCTAGTCAACTGTCCATGATATTTCATTTTTTTTTCTAACAGTATACTTCGTTCAAGTTGGCAAACTTTTTTCAATCAAAATTTCTGTTCTACCGACAATCTTCCCATTCCCATACTATTCCGAATTTTTCATTGCGGAACACATTTTTTCGAGAATTTCTTCAATGAACATTGTGAGCAATTACAGTTTTTGATGTTGACATATTCTTAGATTCGGTGATATTTTTGAATAAAATATAGTGAACAATATGTTATTCAATTTAACACTTGAATAAAATATTGTTCACAATATTCATTGTGAGCCCTACTTTTGCGAGTTTCATTATTGCATATTGCAATATTGCACTAAAGGTGAAATGGTCTATCTAGTGAGAGGTTCTATCGATCGGTCGTGTTATCCCACTCGTCTCGGGTATCAGTTTTTCTTCAAGGAACTTCTTTTTCCGCGTAGTAATTCCTAACGAGGCTGCAGGAGTTTTCATTACATTTTCTTCATATGTATGACATTATCATTGCACCGGACATTCAATTATGATAAGTAAAGACTACGAATAGATAATCCGTATAGAATAAATTCAAAGTGACATGGAGTATTCATCCTGCACAGCAAAAACGATTGTCTGAACTTCACACACCTTTTGTAGACATTTGTCACCAAAAACCGCTCGACTAAAATGAAAATTTGTCTGCATTTCAAACATGTTTGAAAATTTGTTTCAATTCTAGGAAATAAATAATATTTTCCGAAAGGGTTATTGAGGGAGAAAAAAATTCACGAGAAATAATGAGAAAAGTCATTAGACTTTTCTCATTATTAGTAATCAATAATAACTACTGAGAATTAATAATAACTACTGAACAGTGTATTGTGAAAATATACTGAAAATACAGTTGAATTTATCGGTTTCTTGTGGACTTCCTCGTCTCTCTGTTGTCTAAACAATCATTCTTTTCTAGATGAACATAGGACTAGGGAACTGCGACAGTTACCAAAGTAATAAAGAGATTTGACGAGTAGTTATCAAATCATTCCGGGTTCGCATTTATTCAGTAACAATAGCCTAATTACAGGTAAAATCCAAATTCACTTGAACAGCAGCCCAGGGAACAATTTTTACGGATGCCATCTAAAAGTCCCCAGCAAGACCGGTAAATATCCGGAAATTTACCGATAAATTCAGTAGCGAAATGCTCAAATGGTTTAAGTCATTTTAGTCTTTAGTTGAGTTTTCCAGAAATATTACCGAATTTAAGAAAGATAGCGAAATTTTCGTGATAAGCTTTTTTGTAGAGCGAATTAAGTGCTACTAAAAATATTATGAGAAAAATTTTGCTATCTCCCTTAGATTTCGAGTTATTCATTAAAAACTGGCCAATAGCCAAAATTGACTTGAACCGTTTGACCACTTCGCTGCTGAATTGTTAACTGAAAGATCGCTACAGCAGACGTATGCCGCATTACGTACTCGTTCTCTGCATGGAAGTTACAGTGAAGAATAATTGTTATCAAAAAATTTGAGGATATCAGCAGAATCCAAAGCCCTAGGCTTGCTATCGTCGCAATCTGAGTTGACTCCATAGGAATTGAGCAGTCGACCCAGCAAACATAACACTTTGCTCGTCAGATTATCAGCTGCATCTGATACATCCGTCAACGCCAAGTTGATGTCATCTCTTCCGATGGCCTTCAGAGCGGGTGAAATGACATCTCTGAATACTTCTTCAAGCAGTACATGGACAATATTTCTAACGAGTAACAAGGCAGCTTTTAGGAGGAAAATAATTGGCGCCAACAGATCCTTCAGGATAATTGGAAGAGGGTATATCAATCGTGATAAGAGTCTTCCTACGACATCCAACATCTGAGATAGAATATCCTTCGTCTGATTGAGGACTTGGAGGATAGCGTAGCGTGCTGCCGGGGGGATTGATGCCGCTGGTACTGGTTGAGAGAAAAATGTTAATCCTACAGTAACGTTCGTCAGTGGCATTTGTGACATACCTTCTCGTTGGTTTTGGCTACCATCTGGTGTAGCACCGAGAATTCCTGGTAAAGATGTTTCATTGTTTGATAAAGGATCAGCTGCAGAAGTACTCAAAGTGATTGGAGTGAGAGCAGCTAATAGCAGAATTGTCGTTAACATCATTGGCTTCGACATTTTCACAGAATGAACTGGCAATTCCGGAATGTCTGGCTGAAATAGAGCACTTTTCTACTGTCTCTGGGGTTATCGTGAAAAGTGATGAGGATTTAAATAGCTAACTATTATCGGGAGCCGCAGTTACGTTCGTTCACACGTAGAATCATAATGTTTTTTCTTTATTGATGAAGCATAAGCATAAATTTGATTATCTGTGGATGTAAGGTTTTTTTATTGTAGGAATTTTAAACCTTACGGTTTATTCTGCAGTAATATTACAATGATTTTGTATGAATTTACGCAAATGATGATTCCTTACAGACTTATTCCGTTAAACAAATGCAATGCACAGGATTTGATTTAGGGGAGTTACAACAGTTGATCATTTTAAACTCGATACATTTATAGCGTAATGTTTGCCGTGATGACGTGGGAAACGACAATACGGGTCAACACCGATGGAATACTAAAAAAATGATGAAGTGATCTGTCAATAAATTGTTGTATTCTAAGTCATTAAATCCGTGAATAGCTATTGCCAACATATAATATTTGCTGAGGAGAATTATTCACGCTAATGCCAACGTCAATAGTAGCTATGAGAATTTCGACGTTATTATCGTACCCCTAAGACTAGTTCTCTACACATACTCGACCTTTGAATTATAACAACAAGCCGCAATTACTAGATTGTTCTAACCATGAATCATAAGTGCTCAAACCATTGGTCATTTTTTCCGCTCAAATTTTTCAAGTTTTCTTCATTCCATTTTTCTTCTCTTCTCATCACGAAAATCAAAGAAAAAAACTTGGAAAATTTGAGCCGAGGAAATTCTATAGAAAACATTTCAATCAAATGAGTTTTATGGAAAAATCGCATTCAACTTTTTCTACAGAAAACTTCCTATTCACCGTTTCAATAGAATCCGCAGAAAGCTAATGGAAAGTTTAATGAAAATCCAATAGAATTGTCTAGCGAATTCACTGAGTTCACTGAGTTTTTCTATAAAATGTTTTCATACGTGTCATTTCGTTTCAACGAAATTTATGGACATGTACATATGTATCCAGGAACGACTCCGTGTATTGATAATACCCACAGATAGTTAAAGACTAGGTAATTTTTTAACCGATAACACCAAGGACAGGGGAAAAGTGCTTTAGTCCAACCAAGCATTCCAACATTTCCAGTTCATTCAGTGAAGATGTCAAAACTAGCAATGCTAATAATGATTTTGCTACTAGCTGCTCTCATTCCGGTCAATTTCAGTGCGTCAACAGCTGAAAATCCGTCAGGCAATGAAACATCTTCGCCAGGAGTTTCCCCTGCAGCAACAAGTGATGACCTTGACAATCAGCAAGGTAAATATGTCAGAACATCAATTAGCGAATCTTATTTCTTATTATCCAAAGTGATGTGTCATGTGTCATTTGAACGATTCAATTAATCGCTTGTTGTAGGCTCAACATCAATGTCTAAACCACAAACGCCAACACTTCTGACTGCCTTCCAACTGTTGAATCAGGTCGACGATCTCATAGATCAGCTGCTCCGAGTCTTAGGGGAGTTATTATCACCGATAACATTGCCAATTTCAATCTTGGTGAAGGCATTGCTGACGCCGGTCATTTTCCTCGTAAGAATTCTCTTGCTGATCGTCAAAATTTTGTTGGATATACTTCTTCGGGGATTAGTGAGATTTGTCCTGGCACCACTTCTCCAAGCCCTCGGACTGGGCGAACTAATTCCAGTCATAAAGGGCGTATTAGACATAGTTGACCTTCTTCTGGACAGAGTGTCATGCCTGCTGGGCCTGCTATCCTTCTTCAGTGGAATCCTTCCAGGTTGTAATGGCAAAAGCGCTGCCGAACTGTGGAGTTCAGATATTGGCGACGCTGCCCTTGCCATGTATGACAAAGATGTCTCTACGGAAACGTAACGATTTTGGGCTCAAGTGCACTCGAAGGTTGTGCAAAATCCGGCGGCCAAATGTTTGGAGTAGGGTGAACAGGCCAATTGCTGGACGGTTAAGGAAAGAATCATCTAAATGGAGATATGATGACTTCCACATCTTCAAGAATGTTTTAATTAGCAGAAGAAAATTATTTAAATTGAAAATAATAGAAACAAGAATAATTAAATTAAGAAACGGACGACTGGGCTATATTTTTTTTATTTACTAAATGTCGATCAACAGAAAAAATAATTGCGCACACAATTATGCGCGAGTAATATTAGTGATCGGTGAAATAATCAGTCAATGGGCTATTCACAGGAAAAGGGGGGCGAGGGGCTATTCGCGGGGAATTGTGTGACACCGCGATTACAAAATGTAATCGATTACCCAGGATTACGGGACTGATTAGACTGATTACCATTGCCTATGTGATAACCGTAATTACCAAGAGCACAGAATATGATTACATGATTACAAATGATTTCGTCGATTACACTCTGTGATTAGCAAACATCTGTAATCATTGAAATCACAAACAAGCAGGGGTTGAAGCCTTTTTGGCAGAAGCCATCAGACTGTTACTTTTGTGTTATAATTCTTTCTCTTTCTTTCATTTAAGAAAGAAGTAAGCTTCCGAATGGATCGTAGTTCGACTTTCTCTGAAAACTTGCTGTGAATGGGTAGATGTGTTTTAATTGATTAGATAGATGGCATCGACACAAATATTGAAACGAGTAACCACAGAATGTACATATATACCCGTTCATACAAAGTTTTTGAGCTATCCCAGACAGAAAGTTTTCAGGGAAAGTCGAATATCTCGGAAACTACTCGGTCGATTGAGCTCATTTTCAATAGGAAAAATTGTCATCGTGGGGGGAAGATTCTGTCCAAATTTCAGCGAGTGACACCACGATTACGCCTGTGAATAGCCCCTCCTAATCAGTAAAATTTTCATTTTATTTATGGAATATTCAACGCAAGTTGAAATCGGCCAGAAACTAACCCCCGTTCAGAAATTGACCTGTTTACTCTATAATGAAGACGATTAATCAAGTGTTTTCGTCCCTCTCGAAATAGAATCTTCAACATTACCCAAGTGATTAGTGGACTGAAGAGCTTTAATAGGTTATCTATCAATAGGGTTTATCATTGTATTGGCTCAACTCTAGGATTTCAGGATTGAATTCAATGATCCTTCAGGCAGATTTCAATGTTCCAAGCGGTTCAAAAGAAGGATTTGCGGGTTCATCAACGATTGAATTCGGGATTACAGGAAGTACGAGAGGGATTGACCACCAGCGGCTTTCGGAATATTTGGATATTGAGTAATGGACTTATTTAGCAGAATTATCTCTTTTATATTAATCTAAAATGATCGATTATTAAATCATGTACTGTTATGCTTGGAACACTGGAACAATAAACGACAATCGAGCCGTGCTATATTTGTGAAGTAATTCGACGCAAATGACCTTTCCGAGTGATTGCAGAAGGCTGGCTGCCCGCACCTGTGGCCAATTCATAATGGCCACATTCTTACGCCATACTGCCGATGTGCACCAAATACTTCGTGCTGGAGTATCAGCATTGACGTCACTACTGAACTGGTAATACAGCTTATCAGTGGACACGAGCAGATCGAATTATGATAAGTACCGCTTTGCGGAGTGCAAGGCACCTGCGAAAATTCGAGGCTTCGCTTAGTTTTAACTGATCTGAAGAACAATACGCTGGGGTAAATTTCGGAGAACCGAATTCTCATTATAACTCATGTTTTGTTTCTTCGTGCAACTTCGGAATAATTCACGGTTGAGACCTCTACAGAAATAGGAATATTCCTGATGGTTTATTCAGTTTTTGCTGCCGAATGGAAGCATTGCAGTCGTTCGAATCTAAGTTTTGGATTTTTCGTGTTATATCGAGCCATTATGACCCGAAAATGTAATCAAATTTTTCTTCGATTGTTCGTTAATGAATCGATGGAATTGAATTTTTTTTTCCTCAAACATAGGTATTGTTGAGCCCTATCAATCGTCATTAATTCAAGTTAAATCCATTTTTTTAATTGTTAAATTTTTAAAATTTGTCAAAAATTGTTTTTTTACGACAACTAAAAAAAATGTTCTGAATTAATTGAATGATGCCTTAAAAAAATATGTTTGCATGTCCTTTTGGCCGAGTTCGAAGATGAAGGCGATGGCAAAAATCATTATTTTCATTTATTTGAAAATTTGGAAAAATTCTTATTTTTTGGAAATCAGGATTCCCGGGATATCTTTGGATATCATGCTTCAAATAAATTTAATCATAGCGTAAAATATTTGTTTTAATGCCATTAAGTCGAAGCTAAAAGATCATTACGATAGCTATGTTGGTTGATTTGATTTTTATAATGATTGTTGAACATTTCTAATTTTTTATGAATTTCCTGGAAGGTGAGCGTACAAATAAAATTTTTTTATTAACATTTCATCCAAGGGCCGAGGGGAGAAACAGAACTGTCAAAAAAAACCATTTGTTGTATAGAAGACCGGGAGAATAACAATAATGATGATGATAACATTCAACTAAGTGGAATAATTTTCAATCAATTATTATCAAATCTCTAGGCAACGTTTCGCTGAAAACTGAGCGCCATGCAAATTCCCTGTTGCGTCAGCAATTTACAAAAACGTAGGGAATGTAATAACATTGGAATTCTATACTAAATGTGAAGATAAAGAGTTATGAAAGGTTCTTTTGATACATATGCATTGGAGTGTTCTGGACATCGTTCGTAATGAAAAGGCGGATTGCAAAAGAATTGCTTTCATGAATCAGATGAGAATTCATACAACAGTTAGGATAGAAAGAAGAGACTCAAAGGAGGGAACAATTGCAGTGGAAGAGAGAATCAAGGACGCGCGGTAATTACAGCTACAAACTTTCGACTGGTGTGTTCGTAATCGGGAGAGGAAAAATGTTTTCCGAATGCGCGTGGAGCCAGTGCAAACGTGAACCAGGAAGATAAATGGTCCAACTGGTGGTGTTTTCACGGGCTTTTGAATATTTTTCGTGACATAACGTCACGGAAAACATTCAAAACGTGGGGGCTACATAGGGGATGATTTTATGAAATGAGGATTTAAAGGATAACAC